TGTGGCTGCATTTTCCACTTTGGATATTCAACATGGGCTCTTAATTCGATTGATTCTCCAGTGCCCTGACTAAACTTAATTTCTGGTTGTATCATCTCCTCTGATGCAGTTCTTTTTAAAATGATGTGTTAGACATTAAGTTATGCTGTCACCAAACCACTCATAATCTAAGAGGATCTCAGATTTTCTGCCGGCATCTTTTCCCCTCCTACATCTTTCCGAAATAAAAAATGAAGATGGAAAAGGAAGGCACTGTGTACTATCTCTGATCTTGCTTTCTGTTGCAGTGACAGGGCGGAGGCAGGGAATAAGAAAAGCACCCCCAAGGCTCAGACTGTGATTTAGTTAATTTAGATGGCATCATTTCACCAATCCCAAAGAAAGCATTCATCTGGTTCAGGCTCTGGAAAGACTGGGTGGTGGTGGGAGTATAGCTTTAAGTCAGACCAGGTTGTAGCACAGATGCCCCCACTAACTAGTTGTTTAATCCTTAACAAGTCGCTTTGTCTTTCCAGGCTCATTTTCCACATCTGTCAAGTCAAATGAAGGTTATGGAATAGATGATCTTTAAAAATCCTTCCAGCTCTACAGTTCTATTCTGGGTCTGTCTGCACCTGCGTACAGTGATATGAGCACAGAAGGGCACTGGGGAAGGAGGTAAATTTAGTTAAGAGAATAAAACACTTTTACCTGGAACTCTCTGTGTCCTCATGTGTTGTGTAGTACAGGATTGTCTCAGATTATCCAAATAATTGACTGAGTGCTCTCCTTTCTTTGCCAGTGAACACACAGCTTTAGTTTTTCCTGGAGCAGCGGCTGCTTTTCTGAAATTTCCATCCCAGGGCTTCTGTTCTCCACTGTGTCCTCTCAGACACCTGTCATGGTTTTTCTGGATGGATGCCCACTGAGCTTTAATCCAGTCACACAAAAAAGTACTACGTATAACAGAAAAGCAAAACCAGGTTACGGGTTGACCGTTTCTGTATTGAATGTGGTTACTTCAAGGGTGTGGAACATAGAGAGGCATTGGTCAACAGCACTGTTTATGCTATCCACTCAGAGCCATGACTAGGGCCAGTGAGTTCCCTTAGTTAAGGCTTTGTCCTTGAAGGTGCAGAGAGGAGGCCAGCCAATATGCTTTAGCACCACCCTGGGTTCTGCACCAGGATCTGACATCTCCAGACTCTTGGTAATGGCTGCTTAATTAAATTAGGTGTTTCCCCATAATATCACATTTTCTTCTCTTCCGCAATAAGCATTTGCATTTCCAATAAGTGAGGGGTAGGGAAAACAAGGTCCCTGCCCTCAGGAAGCTTAGCAGAGTCCCCCAACTTCAAAACGTGCAGTTCTCCAACTTTAAGTTATGGAAAGATCCCCTGGGAAGGCGGCTAGAAATGCACATTTCTGGACACTGCTCTCAGACATTCATTCAGTAGGTTTGGACCCAGGAAACTGCACTTTATTCACCCCAGAGCAGCTTGATGTAAGAGGGTGATAGACTCCTAAGAAATGCTCATGACTAGAAATAAATAGCAGTATCAAAAACAAGAATTACACATCTCCATTTGTGTTTCACGTTGTTTGGATAAAATTCATGAAAATCAATGCCTAATAATCAGGATCCTGGCATTAACATTAAGGTCATTGCTCTGAATCTCTTTGATACATGCCATGCTCACCAGGAGATTCTGAAAACTCAAAGCAGGGATAGATTTGGAACTAAAAAGGGGCAGAGTCTTGTGGAGTTGGTAAGGAAGAGCATGAATAGCTTTGAAGTCAGACAGAATCGAGTTCAAATTTTGCACTTGCCAGGTGTATGACTTGGGCAAGTTATTGAACCTCTCTGAGCCTCTATTTTTTCATTTATACAACTAGGATATTTCTACCTCCCTGAAGGAGGGGTTAAGAAGGGTAAATGAGTTTATGCACTGAGTTAAGTGACTGTTAATAGTTAGCCCTTTTAACAAAATTACCACTGTTATTCCCCACAAAGGCGGGGGGGGGGGGGGGCAGCAAGGGTCTCTGGGGCCTACCTGTAAATTGGTATTTGGGATTTGGCCAGAGTTGGGCGTATCCTGTGGTGCTGGGGAAATGCGGCCGTGGATCTTCCGGGGCCATTACTGTCCACTGGGTGCGTCCTTTCCAAGGGCAGCAGTTCGCTCCCTGGCCGGTTTCCCGCCTCGACCTAAAAGAAGAGGTGGTGGATTGGGCATCTTTATCTTTGAAGACTTCCCTCTAGGCCTTTGACCTGGCGCCACAGGTGTCAGCGTGGGTTTCGAGGGCGGCAGCAGCCTTTGAGGAAAGGAGGCCGCGGAGCTGGGTGCGGCTGGGACCCGGAGCCACCCCCAGGTGGCCCTATTCGGGCCAAGGCTGCCAACTGGGACTGTCCTCGGCCGGCAAGGGGGTGAGGGGGCCCCAAATCCACCTGCGTAAGGGACCCGGAGTGGTTGGAGTGCCCCCCCTCCCCGGCAAGGGCCAGCTGTCCGAGCGTCGGACGGCCCCCCCTCTCCCCACCCCGCCTGCTGGCAGGGGAGGGCTAGTGGGCCGGGATTTGGCACCTCACTCTCACCCCGCCCGCGGAGGCCCCAGGAACTGCCTCAGCCCGAGCTCTGCAGGGAAACAAGGGCCCCACCCACCGTCCGGATCCCCGTCGAAAGGGCCGGAATCCCAGGGACCCGCACTAGCTGCGCAGTGATGGGAGCCAGGACCTGCGGCGGTGCCACCTGACGGCTCGGCTCGTGAGGAGTGGAGTCCTCGGGCCCCGCGGTGCCAAGCTGGGCGTTCGAGCACTGCGGGAAGTAACTGGAGAGTTGGCTGGATTTTGTCTGAATCCCACTCTGCATCTTCAGAACCGGGCGGCCGCAAGGACCCTTCCTCCTCTCCCCTCCCATCCGCCCCCACCGACCCGCCCCGGGAGAGCGGGATCAAAGGCACTTTCCACCCGGAGGCCCAGTTGGCGTCCGACGTCGAGGGCCTCGTTTGCGGCGAGGGGGACTGACCCGCCACTCATCTGCCGGGGACCCGGGACACCCGCCGCCCTGCGGAGAGTAGCTCGGGACAATCTCACACACACACCCCGACCAACGAAATAAAGTGAAAGCCTAAGGACTGCCTCCAGGGCCAGAGACGCCCTCGGGAACCGGACTGAGCCTGAGTCCTCCAAATGGCCCGGGGGGAGGGGGGCGGCGGGTGGAGGTGGATGGGGGAGGGAGAGGAAGGGGGAGGAGGAGAGTGCCGAGGACCCGGCTCGGGCGGCCCCCTTTCCCCGCCCCGGACGTTCGATGGGGTCTTGTTGGGCGGCGGCAGTGGGACCGTGGGGCGGGCAGAGCGCGCCGGAGCCCCCGAGAGCCCACCACACACACTCCCACCCGCTCCCTCTCTCCCACCCGCTAGCCGCGACCCCCGCCCCCAGCCCCCTCCCCTTCCCTTCCCCGCCCGCCTCCGCCCCCATTCTTGGAATTGTGTGGAAAAATTCTCAGCCAAACCTCCCACCTCTCCTCTCCCCCACCCCCCCACTCCCTTTAAAAATCCCCCTTTCCTCCCCGGCCCCTGCACTCTTTGTGAATGAGGGCAGGGAACACGGCCCTTCCCCCGCCCAGGAGCCACGCCAGACCGCCGCACTCAGAGGACTGTTTGTTAATAGTCCAATTAGATAATTGCCATCTTTCACTCCTTTTGCTCCGCATTTCCCATAAAGGAATGAATGGGGAGAGCGGCGTGGAGAGGGCTTCTGCCCCGGCAAGGTGACGAGAAGAGCTGGAGCATGCTCCTTGCACAAGGCCATGCGCTTGAATTGAATCATTGTAGCCTAATCAATGCTCTTATTGGATTACTGGCTGTTGCTTTTCTCAAAGATATTGTAGCAGAGACAATGAAATAGCTAGGGGAAAACTTTTTTTTTTTTTTTGAACCAGATCTCACAGTTGAGATTCTCTGCTCTCTCTCTCTCCCCCTCTCTCTCCTGCTGGACTCTCTGAGTACAAAGCTGCCCTTTGAATGGGCTGCCTCAGGGCTGCTGGAGGTGCAGGCATGAAAAAATCCAACTGAAACTAAATGAAGAGAGGTGGCAGTTTAAGATGGCTGTCAGCGCCGAGGTGTGTTAAGAAGGAGTTGTCTGGGAGGAAAGCTTGTCTTTTTAGAGTGCAGGGGAGATACTTTTTGGGAAAACTTTTTCTCCTCCCCCCTTCTTATTTTCCCCCTAGGGACAACTGCTTTTTTTCTGCTGCAGGGAGTGTAAGGGTTTTTGTGGGGGTTTTTTCCTCTCCCTCCACCCTCATTCAACTCTGTCTAGTGTGGAGAAAACCCCTTTAGCCAGTATGTGAGCAGGAGGGTCAAAGGCAAAGGGAAAGTTAATAATGCCTGCTAATGGTACTAACAATTCAGGATGAATCTTGTCAAAAGTTTTTCTGGAAGTGTGGGTCTTTGATTGTGTTTCCTGAAAGCAAGACCAATCATTTCCGTTTATTCACTGGCTAAACCCCTACTTGATTGGGGACAAGGACAGAAACCATCCATTACGATCTGATATATTATCCAAACAATTTAGTGTATTCATGAGGTAACCGAAACGTGGGGGCTGCGAAATTACCGGTAATCAATTGCAACGGCGAGTGTGCGTCCCCCCGGGTGTCGGACAACTAGACTCGCCGTCTCAGTAACAGGCGGGAGCCGCAGCATTTCGGAGTTGCGCTGCTAGCTACCTGATCGCCAGGCTGGGGACACTGGACGTGCTCAGAGGACGCGGGCGCTGACGAGGCGGCCTCGCCGCTGCTCCACCGGGATCCTGGACCAGACCCGCCGCCTCTCGGCGAGCGCGCCACTCGCCGGTCGCCGCTGACCCGCCCGCGGCCGCCGCAGCCGCCCCGCGGGGACATTCATTCTTGCCGCTTGCCTCTCGGGCCAGGCGTAGGGACTGCATTGTAGGGGTTTTATCCCCCCTCTGCCTCTTTTTTTTTTCTTCTTTCTCCTTTTTTTCTTTTTTGGTTGCTCTTGCTTCTCCTATGTTCGGGAAACCAGACAAAATGGACGTTCGGTGCCACTCGGACGCAGAGGCTGCCCGGGTCTCGAAGAACGCGCACAAGGAGAGCCGGGAGACCAAGGGCGCGGAGGGCAACCTCCCTGCCGCCTTCCTCAAGGAGCCGCAGGGCGCCTTCTCGGCGTCGGGCGCCGCGGAAGATTGTAACAAAAGTAAATCCAATTCCCCTGCCGATCCCGATTACTGCCGCCGGATCCTGGTTCGAGGTAGGGATGGGGCAGGGCTTTGGGGCGCTTTCTTTGGGGGCGACTGCGGGGCTCGAGCTGTGCGCCACCGGCGACCCAGGCCGGGAGGGGGTGCCGGCTGGGACTTCAGAGAAAGTTGCTGGCCCTCCCCGCCCCGGATCCGGCCGGCCTCTGGGAACTCGCACCTGGGGCGCGCGCTCTCCAGGGGCCTCGACCTTCCAAACCCCGAGGGGCCCCGCCGGCTGGGCTGCTTGTGGAGCCGAGGGACTGCGCGGGCGGGCCCAGGCTCCAGGCTGCGGCCTCCGACCCAGGAAAGGAGCAGGAAACTCTGGAGGACGTAGGTGCGCCCTGAGGGCCGGAGGACCTGCCGGGAGCCCGCCTGCAGGCTGAACGCACCCAAAGGGAGGGCGGGTACCGGAGAACAGCCGCCGATCGCTGGCCACGGCCCGGCCAGTTGGCGCGCTGGGCCGAGGACCCCAGCGCAGCGCTCGGGGCTGGCCGCTGCTGCCGGGAGAAGCGGGCGGGCTGGGTTGCCGAGCCGCGGATGCCGCCTTGCTGCTCGGCTCGGCCCCGCTCTGCTATGTGCTCTTCGTTTGGCTCCGGCGGCGGCCGTGGTGAGGCCCAGCCCCGGCCCCGGCCCGGCGCCGCCCCCGCCAGCTAGACCGCCAGGCCCCGCCGGCCCGGACTCCGTCCCTCCTCCTTCCGCCACCCGGGCCCGGGAGAGAAGGAAACCCCGGGGTGGGGGTCGGGAGCGCCGCAGCGCGGTCTGCTCAACGTGTTCCAGAGCCGGGGCCGGCAGGACCCGGGTTGGTCAGTGCGGGGACCCTCAGGATACAGGGGTCCCAGACCGCGCAGCCGAGGCCCCCAAGCCGGACGGAACATCAGCCGATTTGGAATTGATTTTTTTTTCCTCTCTTGTCCGGAGGGCTCTACAAAGGCCAAGTCCGATTCCCCCTCCCGTCAGCGATGTGGAGTTAGCCTCCTCGCCCCCAGACAGTGTCTTTGCTCCTTGGCTGTGGCCGCACTCCCCCCTACCCCCAACCTCCGGACTGCAAGCTGCTGGCCACTGTGTCCCCAAAGCCAGCTCCGGCCAGGGAAGTGGAGGGACACGGGAGGGTTCTGGCGGCTGACATCTCCCCTTCCCCAGATGCCAAGGGTTCCATCCGAGAGATCATCCTGCCCAAAGGCCTGGACCTGGACCGGCCCAAGAGGACGCGTACGTCCTTCACGGCGGAGCAGCTCTATCGGCTGGAGATGGAGTTCCAGCGCTGCCAGTATGTGGTGGGCCGCGAGAGGACGGAGCTCGCCCGGCAGCTCAACCTCTCTGAGACCCAGGTACCCGGCCGCCAGGCCGCTCACGGCTCTGTGCCAGCCTCTTTCCCCACCACCCCAGCCAGCTCTTCCTAGCCTGGCTCTGGGCAGGTCCTCCAGGGGAGGTGAAGGAGACAGGCAGGATGGGGCGGAAAGGTCTCTTCCCCTTCCATAAGACATCCCTTCCCCACATCCCCAAATCTACACCCGCAAATCTTCCAGGGCTCGTCATCTGCCCACCTTGACCTAGTCCAGGAGGCCCCAAATCCTGTCCCTTTGGAATTCTTTTTGGACTTCAGCCTTGAGAATTCCTTGCTTGTCTCAGCTCTACAAGGAACTGAACCCCTGTTTTGGTGACCCCATTTTGGCCAGATTTCTGCCCTTTTGCGGACCCCAGGCTTAGACAAAACCCAGGCCGATTCTGCCAGAATGGGGGTAGGGCTAAAGCTCCCTGCTCCAGTACTGTGGGTGACAACTAGAGATTAGAAAGGTGCACATTACTGAGATCTGCCTGTGCAGACCAGGCTGCCCTGATACTTTAGGCTTCCCCTGGCCCTGAGCTGGACTCAGCCCCATTCCCAGCCCCGAGCACCCACTCTGGGCACCTAGGAGGCCCGATCTTCTGTGCCAGTGATGTTCGAGGTATGAGAAGAGAAGCGAATCTGGGGCCCTGGGAGCCAGCACTGCCAACTGTGCTTTAGGTCTTTTCCTTTATGTGAAATCCATATGATGCTACTGGAGCTGGCTATGCAGACTCTGGGCCCAGGGACACTTTAGGGCCTGAGAACTTTGCCTTGTGGAGGCCCTTTGGGGCCTGGCACCAGCTTGGCCTAGGTAAGGCAGACTTCATTCTGAGGACGAGTCCCTTTCCCTGTGCCCACCCCTGAAGCAGGTAGGGAGTATTTTAGGTCTGGGAGCTGGGCAGAAAGCTGAGAACCGAGGACAACATATGGGATGTGCTTTTTGAGTTTGAGTTGGCATGGTAGCTGTTTCCTATTCTCTCTGCTACCACCCCTCTTAGTTTACAAAATCTAGACAATAACGTTTTCCCATAGCTTGGCAGAATGGGAAACTCCATTCTGGGCCACCAGCTAGGCCTGAAGAGGGGCAAAGGGAGAAGAGGAAGTGAAAGGGGAGGTTGGTGGAGAGAATTTAGTTCACCCCAGCCTCCAGACTTCCTCCCATGATGCCAAAGTTCATGATGGAGAGCAGTGGAGTGATAAAAGTATCCCTCAGACCCTCCAATACAGTTGGCAGGTGAGAGGAGGTGAAGAAAGCTTGGCCTGTAAAGTCCATCCTGCACAAATTATTCCTCCTACAGCCACCTTCCCTGCTTGCTGCTACTTGATGGTCGTCTGACCCTAACAAGCAAGAAATAGCCTCTTGTAGCTTTCAACAGGAGTAGTGGTGCTGGGGCTCAATTCAAGACGGCTGGGCCAGGGGCCTGGGTCCAGAAAGACAGGGCAACACTCCTCCCCACCCACCCCCACTTCCCACTCGCGCACAGCATCCTTCAAGCCTCACATCCTCTCCCAGAAATGTAGGCTTTCAAGCTACGCTGATCCCAAGTCCGGCTGCCCTTTGGGGCAGCCCAGTGAAATCCCTTCTGGTGTTCCTTTGAGTTGGGGTCGTGGACATTTTCACTTTATTTGTAACCTCGGCCGGCCTAGGCCTGCTTCCGTAACCCAGAAGCGCAGCCTGGTGGAGCTGTGTCCCCCTCATGGAGGCCCTGGCTCCTCTCGGCAGCTCAGCTCACGGCCTGGACTTCTTCCGCTGCAGGGTGGGGCTGGGAATGGTGCTAGGGCTGGGGTTGGGGGAGGGCCCCCGGAGCCCTCGCGCACCGGGAGCCCGCTCCCCTTGACGCCCGTCTCCCCCTGCCCCGCTCTCTCACTTTTCCCGTGCCCCGGCGCGCAGGTGAAGGTCTGGTTCCAGAACCGGCGCACGAAGCAGAAGAAGGACCAGGGCAAGGACTCGGAGCTGCGCTCGGTGGTATCAGAGACGGCGGCCACGTGCAGCGTGCTTCGGCTGCTGGAGCAGGGCCGCCTGCTGTCGCCGCCCGGCCTGCCTGCGCTGCTGCCGCCATGCGCCACGGGCGCTCTTGGCTCGGCGCTACGCGGGCCCAGCCT